GGAGGGGCTGGGCTCTGCTCCCAAGGAACAAGGGATGGGACAAGAGGAAACGGCCTCAAGCTGCACCAGGGCAGGTTTAGATGGAACTGAGGAACCAGCTGAGGAGCCAGGAATTCCTTCTCCAGAGGGTGCTCAGGCATTGGAACAGGCTGCCCAGGGCAGTGCTGGAGCTGCAACTGTCCCTGGAAGTGTTCACACACCGTGTAGACAAGGCCTCAGTGCCATGGGTTAGTGGAGGCCTTGGCAGTGCTGGGGAATGGTGAGACTCGATTTTAAACGTCTTTTCCAACCTGGCTGATTCTATGTCTGTGGTAGGAAGCCAAAGACATCACCATCATTCTGGGGCACCATCTTTCAAGACTCTTCTGATTTTTCACAGGCTGAGGAGTCACATCAGGTTCACCTGTGCTGAACCAGTGGGGTTTACACAACAACTCCACATTTTTGACAAACTGGAACCACACAAAGATTATGAACAAACCTGATCAATCTTCATGCAGGTGGGGTTAAACTAGTTCTTAACACTTTTAATAACACACTAAGCTACAGTCACTTTTTACACACTAGCATTGGCTCACATCTGCAAGAAACACTACTTCAGCTTCACGTATGGAGATGTATGCAATGAACCAAGGTAGGCTTAAAGCACCTACACTTGCATAAGCCACACTTAAAATGTAGCAATTCTGCCCTCATGTATTATCAGAGTAATTCCTGTAGGACTGCTTGTGCAGAGCTGTTTTAGCCTAAGAGGACTTCAAGTTTTTCCTCACCTATTACTGTGCTTGAACTTTTCCCGGTCTTTTTCCTTGTCCTTCTTGTGCTCTTTGTGCCGGTGTTCTCGGTCTTTGTGTTTGTCTTTGTGTTTGTGAGAATCTGCAAGCAGAGAGGCAAAAAACATTAAGAAATGAAGCTGGTGAAAGCTCCACCCCCCTCCTGACCCTCTGCTTTCCCCCCACCCCACACTGGTCTGTTCTGTGATCCAGCAGTTGTAACAAACTCCTCCGTGTCAGGGCTCCTCAGTGCTGTTCCTGCAGCACAAATGAACTCATCTTTGCAACATGCACATTTATATGGTCTTTAGCTCAATGACCCTGAAATGCTTTACGGACTCTGAAGAAATGCTGCCCTACTTACAAAATAGGTAAGAAGTGGCTACAGCAAGTAGCAAACCTGCCTTCATATGCCTGAGTATTTCATGTCATATAGATTATAAGGATACAGGAACAGAGCACAAAGCTCTGAAGTTAAGCCTGTTGAATCCTAGAATTTAGACTAACACCTCCAGAGGTATCTAGTCCAAACAAAGCAGCCCCTTCTCCTCGGTTAAAATCATCTTACCCCCTATCCTCAACACCACCTGGCATGAGAGGCACACAACAAGGGAAAAGGGGAGTAATGAGGGAAGAGGAAAAGAAAAAAACAAAGGATAGGAATTCCCTCCTCAAGCTCCTCTTGTGCAGCAGACACTCGCCTTCTTTCAGCCCCCCCGCTAATCCCCATGGCACTGCAGTGAGTGTGCTAGTGGGCACTCACCTATGGGACCAGGGCTGGTCCCAACTGACTGAGAGGTCACACATGGGAGGTAGCACTCGAGTAAAGCCACATGAACACAGTGTTACTGGTATCAGTATCCACTGAGTGACGTTTCCCACCCTCAGTGACACCTGTACTGTACAATAAAGCCCTTTAAAGCACAAAGGAAATAGATCCAGCACAGAAAAAGAGCAACAGACTTGAACTGTAAATGAACTCATTTATAAGCATTCTCAGGTCTTTAAATGTTCTTTGTAAGTAGAGCAAACAGGAGCTGAGGCTGAACTAGCACCTCAAAGGCACCTATCATTTATGGGAAGGTCACTGCAGCACTGAGAAGAACCTGTGCATACTCAAAGACTCTCCCCAGGTTTTGTTCTGAACATGCGTCTCAAAGCCACTAAAATCAAGCTCTCTCCTCAGGATACCCCAAAGCCTGTGCTGACTTTGGCAACTGTTTCCAGCTAATAGTGCCAGAATTCCCACCAGAGACCTTAGATGTAAGCTATTAATGCTTCACTAACTGTAAAGATAGTACCATGCCTTTAAAAAGGCCACTATCCCCCCACTAAGAACAGGAAACAGCAACCAAAGGATGTTTTGATGTATATGGGACAGGCACTGCAAGGCCAGGCCAGGCCTCACCCTCCTGGCTCCAAGTCTTTGGCCACCAATTCATTCTTCTCCTTAACTCACACCAGCTCTTTCTGTAACCTCAAAACGTTGAGCTGGTTTTAGCAAACACCCACAGAGTATGATTTTCATCCACTGCTTTCTCCCAGTTCAGGTACTGTTTTCAGACACCAGCAGTGAGACAACCTAAAGCAACCTCTGAATCTGACACTTGAGCCTCCAACTTGCCTTGTGCACCTTTCCTCCATCCTCCCGAGCCTGCCGACCCTTCCCAGTGCTTTGGTGTACACAGGATAGAGATGGAAAGCACAGGATTTAGATGTCTGTATTTGGAGATGCAGACACGTGGCAGGTCGTGTGCAACATTTGGTGTTACAGAACAAAACAAGTAACAAGAGCTTTCAAGCAGCTCAAAGTAAAAGCTGTTCTGCAGGAGGCAGAGCTGTGTGGGAACGCACACCTCCACCCTGAGCTGCCAAGCAGCAGCTCCTCAGAACCCTTCTGCCCACCAGGACACACACATTCCCCTGGCAAAAGGGTCTCTGCAGCACATTTCACACTCGGCAGTGCTGAGCTGAGGCAGGAGCTTGAGCCCAGCCTGTCTGCAAACCGCCTGGGCTTTATTCCACAGGGAGTTTACTCACTGCTTCCAAAGCACCGGCTCAAGTGAACAACCATCTATTTACTCTCCATGAATAGGTAGATTGCTAGGAAAGCATCCTGCTGCTATTCATAGAACCATGTACACTCACTTTGTAATGTTCTTTAAGGAGGCACGTACCAACATGGAGTAGATTTATTCTACCCAGGGCTGGGAAGCGATTGCAGCTGAGCTCAGTGCTCTCCTCTGCAGAGCTCAGAGCCACAGCATTATTTCACAAAAGAAAAGAAAGCAGAAAACTGCGCAGTGTTTTACCTTCAGCACCAAATCCCCTTCCAGCTGACTCGTGCTTTCCAGCTGACATTAGTATTTGCTCTTGAAAAGGAGTTCCAGGGCTGTACCCTGCAAACACTGGACTCACACATCCACCTCCCCAGTCCTCTGCGCTGTTTCCCATTAGCTGTGATTTTCAGACAACTAAAGCCCAGTACAGAAGCAGTAAGTGCCTGAGCAGTTAAAGCAGCTCAGCTTCCTCTGCCATGCAACCAAAGCACTTCCAGCAGGAAGGTCTGTCCCCGAGGTGTTCTGGCTATGGATAAAGCACCCGGGGAGCTGGCAGGAGGGTGTGTGAGTGCTGTCAGGGCTGGATGGGTTTGTCCTCCCACACCAGACAGCACTTCAAATCCAGGACTTCCATGGAGGTCTCCCAGGCAGGTCTCTCGAGGGTTAAATTATTGTGGAATATTGGCCTGGTATTCCAACTCAGTGCTGCTGCTTCCTGCCACAATGCTAAGGTTAACAATAAAGACATCAAACGAGTTCATCGAATAGTCTTAGAATCAGAGTACTTTGGGTTGGAAGGGACCTTCAAAGCTCATAAAGTCCAACCCCCTGCAGTGAGCACAGGGACATCTTCAACTAGATCAGAGAGCCCAGAACCACATCCAGCCTGGACTGGCTGCAGGGATGGGGCATCCACCACCTCTCTGGGCAACCTGTGCCAGTGTTTTACCACTCTCATAGCACAAAATCTCTTCCTCACATCCCGCTTGAATCTCCCTCTTTTAGTTTAAACCCATCACCCCTCGTCCTGTTACAACAGGCCCTGCTGAGAAGTCTCTCCCCATCTTCCTTGATATGACATTTTCTGGGTTCAGAAGGCACTAAAGCTCTTGGTGTCTCTTTTGAGGATGGGGCTGGATGAAGCTCAGGAGATGGGCTCACTGGGTCAGCAAGAAGGACAGAATTCGCTGTTCATGGCATCACACAAATGCTCTGTGCCAGACTGGCTCCGAGAGTCCAAGCTGATGGTTACCTGGCAGCTGACATGACACGAGTTTAGGCATTTCACTCCAATGTGTACCCACTGCACAGAGACCTGTACAGCATCGCCTCCAACTGAATTACACAGGCACAGATGACCCAGCTAGGAACTGGGCCACCTCACACCAAACCTCATCAGCACAGAAGCAATCCAAGAAGTGTTCCTGTCTGCAATCTCTCTTCCCTGACGTATTTAGTACATTGATTCCTAGATGAACCTTCCAGCTTCCAGTAACTCTCTCCCAGTTGCAGCTGAAGGCCCAGCCTCTCAAGAGCCAGAGTGAGCTCTGACATTGTCACACATTCAAATTTATTTCCTGCCTCTTATGTCTTCTATCAAGTACGTCTGCTCCCTGAACAAGGAGATAAACCACTATTCCTTCTCCAAGAGCATTAGCAAAATCCACTGTGAGCAAAGTTCAAACCCCCCAAAGCTTGTGCAACATTTAAAAAGCTCAGAAACTGCAAAGTTGCTCTCCAGCATGAAGGTTACAGTGGGGATGGGGTTATGCTCACTGGGCATGGATCCATTACCCCTAAAGGCTCTCCCTTCACTATGCTCTGACTCAAATACAGCTTTTGGCACCTCTTCTGTTCTAGAAAGCTTGCTGTCCCTGGCACTGGATCCTTGTTAATGCCTGGTATGCCTCCATCAGCTTACTGCAGCCCCGGTGCTATTCCTGCCATCCCCTGTACCTCCAGCAATCACGAGCAGCTCAGCATTTTTTTACGTTGATTCATCTTTCAACTCTGCTTAATTCCAAAGACGCCTGACCCAATGATGGGAAATTCTAAGCACTTCTGGTCTGTGGCTGCTTGATCTGTCCCAGCTGCCAAGTCCCTGGGGAAAGGCTGAGTCATGCCCTGCCTGCGATGCCTGTGTTACACACATCACTGCAATGGGGCAGCTCTACTACCAGGAGCAGAGCTGTAAAGGCTGGACATCTCAACAAACAGCATGACAAGAGCAGGGATGCAGTAAAATCAAACCTTCCTCCACAGGCAGCTGCAGCCTAGAGAAGAAAAGGAAGAGCACCATGGGACAGCAAAGGTGAGAGCTGCCTTTTGGAACGAGAACAGCCCCTGGCGTGAGAGCACAGCCTGGTGCCAGAACTATTATGTGGGATCACAGAATCCCAGACTGGTCTGTGTTGGGATTCTCTGCTAATTCTCTGAAACTGAAGCTCATCCAGTTCCAACCCCTGCCACGGGCAGGGAGCCCTTCCACTCGAGCAGCTTGCTCCAAGCCCCTGTGTCCAACCTGGCCTTGAACACTGCCAGGGATGGGGCAGCCACAGCTTCTCTGGGGACCCTGGGCCAGCGCCTCAGCACCCTCACAGGGAAGAGCTTCTGCCTAAGAGCTCATCTCAGTCTCCCCTCTGGCAGGTTCAAGCCATTCCCCTTGGCCTGTCCCTACAGGCCCTTGTCCCAAGCCCCTCTCCAGCTTTCCTGCAGCCCCTTTAGGCACTGGAGCTGCTCTAAGGTCTCCCCTTCAGGAGCCTTCTCTTGTCCAGGCTGACCCAACCCAGTTCTCTCAGCCTGGCTCCAGAGCAGAGCAGCTTTAGTTCACAAGATGTTCATTTGCTTCTAAAATACTTTTAATCACCTTTCTCCTCCCCTCAACCCCACCCCAAATTCCTTCCCTATCACACTCAAGGAGATCAGGCCTACTTCCTACTTTAGTAGTTCAGTTTTGACAGCAACTTTTCTAATAAACTACTACAATCACACATAGAGGTCCCTTCTAAACTGAAGCACCACCTCCAAGTCAGACGTTCACAAACTGCAGCCTCCTTCCACCTCGGGCTGATGTCCTTCTCGCCTGCTGTGATGCAGAAGCAAAGCAATAGACTCTGTACCACCCAAAGGAAACAGTTTTACTCCTGCCCCACACGCTCTCCCAAAAGCAGTCACCTGAAAACCACACATTAGCAGAAAAAGGCCTCTTAATTTCAAGTTACTAAAGTTTTATCATTTGTTACCATTTATTTTACAAATCATATCACTTTAGGTCTTTATTTCATGTATGCAGGGTATAAAAGACTTATTTAAATGATCAATGTTCAGTTGCTGAAATGATGCCAAGAAGGGCTATGAACGTTCAAACATGTGAACGTAGTTCAAGGTGACAATACTCTTCATATTCCTGACAAAGAACATGCCCCTTTGACTTAGGCAGCTGATCACAGTGGGTTTAGTGCGGCACCACCTTTTACAACACATAGATCCTATCAGCAAATAGAAAGAGTGTAACCTTTAGTGACTGTCCAAGAGCTTTCTCATGAGCAGCAATAGGTTAGCAGATTACCTCACAGGCCACAATAAAGGCTGTGAGGTACACTGTTCACCTGAGAAAGCAGCACCTGGAGGAGATGAAAAAGCCAATCTGCAGAACACTTATGGACCAGAACAGCCATATGGAGAAGGTGGCACAGCCTGAGGCACAGGGGGTCAAGGATTCACTGCTGTGTTCACAGGTTATGGCTTTGGGCTTCTCATCTGACTTCACATGCTCTGATTTATCAGTTTTAAAGGCATGTGCAATATTTCCACATAACCAGTCTGGAAGAGGTTTAAACTTCACTGAAACATCTGTATTCCAGTTGGAGGAAGTCACAGCAGGATCCTGGTGTTCCACCACTTGAGCGCACTGTTTGTGGAGTTTGTTGGAATTGCCTTTGCTGTAGCCCAAACACAGAGGGAGGAAAAGCCAACGAACAGAAACCAGAGCTGCACCTTTCCCAAGCAAGCAGGGCAGGCTGAAAGGAAACAGCAGTGGGTATGAAAGATACAGACCCTGAAGACATCTAGATGCAGCTTGAAGTGTCAAGAGCAGAAAACCATACCCAGAAGGCACTGTTCAGAAAGGAGGGTATCGTGGGTGAAACACTGGAACAGACAACCATCACCTAAAATAAACTTCCCATCAAACTGGCTGTGTCACTTACTGGCCTAATGGCCCTGTTTACACAGCTACAGAACACACACAACACCTCCCCTGGCAAGGCACCATGGCTCTGTTTGCTGAGCTGCTTTAGTCCAACTGCTGACTGCAAAACGTGGAATCCTGAGCTGGGAGTGACTGAAACACCCGAGACCACAATGTGAGCTCCCCACAACTTACACATGGAATTCCATGAGAAGCACGACCTGGGGTTTAGGAGGTGTCAGGGACCAGACTACAAGGATACTGAAACAAGCCTTGGTCAGAGTCTTCACGGCACAGACAGACCTTTCGAAAGCAAACTGACGCCCAACCCTTCACCAGTGTTGAAGGACATCTCCACGACCAATACTGCTACAGGAAACGGTTGCCAAATCCTTAAAATCCTTCTTGCAGTCAGATACAAATGAAACAATTACTGGGGTGTCACAGGCTCGTTTCCCTACAGGTGCACCAGGTCAGGTGCTGATACTCCAGCAGTGTCACTGCTTCCCTCCATGAGCCAGGAGGGAACCTGAGTTGTAAGGTTTACTGCAGAACAACTGTATTAATTTTGACTAAGCAAAAGGAGAACACACACACCAGCTCTTGGCTGGGAAGCTCAGATCCTTGCTCATTTGTTTTTCCAATCATACAAAGGAAGAAATAGGAGAAAAAAATGTGTGAAAGCTTCATAGAATCCCAGGCTGGTTTGGATTGAAGGGACCTTAAAGCTCCTCCAGCTCCAGCCCCTGCCACAGACAGAGACACCTTCCACTAGAGCAGCTTGCTCCAAGCCCCTGTGTCCAGCCTGGCCTTGAACACTGCCAGGGATGGGGCAGCCACAACTCTTCATGAGGAAGGAACCTGGCAAAGTGCAGCAGAACACCCAAACAGCTCAACCTGGCTAAGGCAGGGACTTTAGTACTAAAAGGAAGACTCCAGAGTGTGTCCTTCCTTTGTAAGGGTTCAAATGAAGAACACGTCATTGCTGAGATCTCAGTCAACCTATTTTCCAGGCTACAGCTACTCCAAGACCAAACTCCCCCTGTGACCACACCACATGTGCCAATGCTGCCAAAGCATGACAACAGTGAGGCTTTGATAGAACACTAAAACCAATGACCTTACAACCCCTCTCCACACTTGAGCAGTTACTTGAGGCAAATGCTACTCCAGGGACAGACAGATAACTGTGTCTTTTTCCCTAAAAGGGCTGTTCTGAGAAACTTGGCTTCAGAACAAGACAGACCCCTCAGTTACTGCATTCTCCATTAATCCTATCATTTGAAGGCCCTGTATTCCTTGCTGTTGAATGGAAGGAAAGTAAGAAACCTGTAGGATAACTTGGTGATGAGTAAGGGAAATAGATAGACAGATCACCTCCAGCCATTCTCTGTCCTTTAGAAGAGCAGAACAGCTCCTAACAACCTCAAACTATGAAAGCTTATCATGGATAGGTTAAGGAGGCCAGAAGCCCAGACCAATCACTCCAATCTTCTGTGACTGAAGCCTCTAGGACATGAAGTTAACCTGAAGCAAATGTCATGGCTGGCATTTCATCAATCTAAACCAATGAGCAGGAGGTGGGTAGGTAGCAAGAGCCTATTCAGACAGAGATCTTCCTTAGTGCATGTTTGGAGCCACACTGGATGAACTGCTCATTTGCTGAGGAGCTCAGTTTGTCACCTGCTGGTGAAGCACCCAACACTGCAGGTGTTTAATGCTGTTTAAAGTCATTAAGATAGCAGCTCTGTGGCATCAAGGGGTGCTGGCCTTAAACTGCAACGCTGTGAAACTAGCACACGGTGTAGACAGCAGCAATGAGTGTGATGACCTGCCAGTGCCTTTCCCATGGCTTCTTCTGAGAGATGGCACAGCACACACGTGGCCACAGCAGATCCAGGATGCTGTGCAGAAATACATAAACCCACCGCAAGCACAATTGCAGGAGATGCTATTACAAAAGGACAAGACTGAAGAAGTCTTATAAAGCATGAAAACGTTTGATCAGTACGGACAGGCGAAGTTAAGAGCTGCTTCTTACACATGCCAAAGGGCTCCCAACCGAGAAGCAACAATGAAATTTCAATCCATTATTTGCATTCAAAAACAAAAGAAGTTCACTGTGAACAGAAACATGTGTTTCCAGGGATCCCCCAGATGTAAAACATTCTCCTGTAATTGTAGAAATCAGAGTCAGACTGAAGCCCATTAGTATGTTTCCATTAACAAAGCAGAACAAAGCAGAAGAGCATGTTAAACTTCAGGGACATGACCAGCAACAGTGTGCAGCTCAAATATTGCTGTGCTGGCCTGGGGAAGAGGGAGACAGAGGCATCTCTCGAGGAAACAAGGCAAGAGAAACCCAGTTCGTCCCTAGTGATACTGATTCTTACAAGGCTACACTCTTGCAAATAGAAGCACTTGTTTTCCACGGCCTCCTCCATTCCACATTTGAGTACCTTGCGTGCCAACTCTTCCCTTCCCTTAGGGTTTCAGCAGGCTTTTCTGCTGCTTTATGAGTGTACACCCACAGAAACACACCAAGTCATGCGCTGCTCTTCACAGAAGCTGCAACACTGAAGACACACTTCTCCAGCCTCAATAGCCACGGCCCACCACCTCTCTGCACATCAGAGGCCAGGATGAGGCGGAGAGCAGGATCTAGGGAAAATCCACCCAGTGAGCACTGTGGGACTTGGGAGAGCCCCAGAACTCTAGGAACAAAGCTGTGCTGGAAGCAGGTGAGTTTCTATGGTGTATGCCTGCCTTCCTCCTAGCTGCTGTCAGGGCAACAACTGCCTTGCTTTCAGTGAGCATTTAATCCTCCTCCTCCCACTTCAAACTAGCCCAGAAAGGGTCTGAACAGGTAGAAAAGTGGGAAGTTGGGCAGCTGCAGTAGACAGTGACCCTTTCCAAAGCCAACTGTGCCTGCATCCGAGTTATCACCTTTTGCATTTTGGATCTGGATGCAAGAGCAAACAAAGGACAGCCCCAGCTGTAGCTCTGGGTTTCAAAAGCCGTCTGTTCACTGCAACTGAATCCGGCTTCCAAATTTGCCACTATATGCACAGACAGGGCTGAGCCCCTGGAGGACTTGTAAGGAACAGTCTACATAAAGCCAAGCAGGCAAGGACGTTCCCCAGGGATTTCTTTTACATCCGCTAACACCAAACAGTTTTTCCTAGAGCATCTGATCTCCAGCTCTCCCAGATCTGCCCATTTCCTCCCCATCATGTGAAAGGCAACTCGCATACAGCACAGGAGGCAGGACAGGCTGGATGCTTAGTCACAAACCAGTCCAGCATCCAGGAGTGTAAAACTGGCTTAAAGTTATGAAAGGAGGCAAAATCTATGGGCATTCAAATAGCTAATGTAAGGGGGACTAATCCTATTTGCAGAGTTAGAAAGCAGCCAACCTTCAGCACAGATCCAAGGCTCAGCACAGAAACCATCACACACCATACTGGGAATAGGCACAAGAGACCTGCCCAAGGTCACCCTGGCCTCTGCCCTGCTTCCCCAAAGCATTTCCTATAGAGGGACTCATCATTTCTATCACGCTTAGACTGGAGCTGTCAGGGACTGCACAAGCTAACCTATCCCTCACTTCAACACAATCCAAAGCAAAATGGTTCACTTCACCCTCATTTTCCTGGTTTGCAGAAACCCTTTTCCATAAGGGGTTCTTGGGCTGCGTGATGTTTGGACCAACATAAGTCTCTTCATCGATCCCCTCTTACGAAGGATGTGCAAGTCTCACTTCTGCTTGGCCACTACCCATCCCACAGAGACGCTTTTGCTCTTTGGTTGCTCCACAGCTCAGAGAGCCCCAGCTCACGCTCAGCCGCAGGGTCCAAGTCAAACCTAGGCCCTCAGCGAGGGGTAAAGAGCCTGCCACAGGTAGCTGGGCTGTATCAGCTCCTGGAGCTGTCTGACAAAGCACTGCCCAGGGAGCAGCTCCAAGGGTTCCTTCAGCAGCCTGGGTCAGTAGCAAAGAACATATTCTGGTGCAGTCTTTGACAGAGCCCCACTGCAGACAGGAACTTCACGTTCTGTGCTTCATACACAGGCTGAGTCAGTGGCCCCAGCAGAAGGCTCTGCCGCCTCCAAATGCTCTTTGTGCCATCACCAGAAAGGTGCAAACACGATTTCCAATGCAAAGTCACCATCTGCTTACTGCACACAAGCTTCCAGACAGGTCACCAGGAGAACACAGGGGCACGCTCCTTCTTGGAGAGATTAATAGAAACTTAGGCTATTTCAAGAAAATTGAGATTGATATGATTTTGAGGCATAAGAAGGAGTTTCAGTTTAAAAACTGAAGTGGCCAAGAGAACTGCTGTGTTATCAGGAATCATGCACTGCAGTGGTGTCACCCATTCACTTGCTCTGCTGTGCACACCACCAGCATTCCCGGATTCACTACAAATTAGTTTGTAAAGACGTGAAATCCTGACACTTCCTCAGTGCAGGAGTGATGCCGCAGAGCAGCTCCCAGCTCCTGCTCTCACACCAGGACACGGGGCTGGCGTGTCTGACTGGCCTGGGTCTGACCCAGAACAAGGGCTGCTCCCGAGCACAGCTCTTGGAGCAGCTCAAAGCCCAGCAGGCGCACTGCAACGCTGCTGTGGCAGTGAGCAGCTCCTGTCAGCAGCCTGGATCACACACACAGCTCTACACATGGAAGTGGTACAGGCTGTGCTCAGCCGCCTCAAGAGAAGCTCCGATGGCACCGCTTCAAAGCCTCTTACTAACCATCCCCTGACTACATGATGCGGCTTTGGCCAGTGCTTCTCTCCTGCCTGCTGCAGGGAGGGAAGACTTGAGGAGGCAGCACCCTTGGGAGCAGCGCATGGCTTCCACAAGCCCCACTATTAAGAGTATAAATTGAGTCTGCAAGACAGAAGTGCTTGGTACAAGCTTTACTTCACCTCTGACAAACAGCCCCACTGTTTCACAACCTGGAGTCAGAGGGTTCTCCTACTGCTTGTTCAGTGCCATG